GATGGAAGAGGCGGAGAGATGGAAAGGAGGCATTTACCTGTTGTGCTACAGTTTCCCATGTTTGCTTCTTAGATTGCACTGACAGTGGGGCCAAATTCACCTCTCAAAACACTTTTATGCTCATTGACCAATTGAGCCAGACGCAAACGCTGTTCCTCTGTTCAGTTGGGTTTCCTCTTTTATTCTCCATTGCTGTTCACTTGTTTGTGGTATATTTGAAGGTCAACCAACACAGCTTCTTATAGGCCGGTCAGCAATCACTGCTGTGCCATTTTACCCCATTACTCCAGTGAGTAGAAATGGTAAAAATTAGGGATGTAAAAAACTATGAATTTTCATGACCGACCACCGAGCCTCATTAACCGGTTGAAACCGGTTAACCGCGTAGTTTAAAATAGTCCACGTTCTTTGAAATAACAGTCATTTCGAGCCGCGTACTTTTCATAAGTGCAGCTCTGCGTTCTACTGGATCAGAGTTGAGACAGCGGCGCCCAAACCCGCAACAGCTCCGGCACCTTTGCGCACAGAGAACTGCTTTTTTAATCTTCCCATTCTGCTGTGCTGCGGGTTAATACCAAAACTTTCTAGCAGCAAACGACTGCTCGTTCACATGGTCAGAGCAGCGAGTGACGAGCCGCGTCTCACAGGTCTTCACAAAAGTTTAAATACAAGTGATGTGTGTGGAGCTGATCCCGAGGACCATAAACACAAACATGTTCCATGTGGTTTGACTGGAGCCGCGTATTTAGGCGAATCCTTTGGGCTCCGTGACACAGAGGAGCGCGACAGACCGGTGTGTGTGTGTGTGTGTATGTATGTGTGTGTGTATGTATATGTGTGTGTGTGTAAATGTAAGCTCCAATGTAGTTCTGACCCGCGCCAGTGTGCAACTTTGACGGTAACAGAGGGGAGAGATGATGCTTGTGGATGTTACGTATGGAGAGGGGGAAAGTGTGTGTGTATATGCGCGTGTGTGCGTGAGTGTGTGTGCGCGCGTGTGTGCATATGTGGCTCGTGCGGCGTGAGAGTCGTCCCGGAGTTTATAATACATGGGCGCACACAGCTAGATACGGACCCGCTCGTCACACCGTGCAAATAGGGCTTAAAATAGCGTTATTAAGAGACCTCCCCTCTCCCCTTTTTTCTCTTTTTTTTAACCGACAGCTTTGACCGGTTAACGCTGTGACGGTCAACCACCGGTTAAACGGTCGCCGATTTACATCCCTAGTAAAAATTGAAAGCAAAAAAATGACCAGCATGGCAATTGATATGAGCAAATAAATGAAATTAAAGCTTGAAGCCCCCTCTGAAAGACCAAGGCTCTGTCACCGTTGATGGAGCAGCCATCCGCCTGTAGACCCACCACCTGAATGACCACCACATGAATGACCAGTCTTCCTAAGATTATATTCCATTATTAAGATTGTCCATTTGAGGGTCCTTATTTTGCCCACCAAAAGTATGTTTTCTCTAACTTTTAGGATCAACCAATCAGCGTCTGAAATGATGTCTCATACCTAGCAACGAGGTTGGCCATGCCTCCTCACTGGGCGTTTTTGTCCATTCCTTGCTCAGTGTTCTCTGAGAATGTTCTGGAATAACTTTTAAGCTAAAACTCCTAGCTAGGAGTGTTTAGCTTTAGTTAGGAGCTCTCTGAGAGGACTCTCAGATTCTGTAGGCATACGGCCCCTGTTGTTTTATGCGGCAGTGTGGACATAATTATTTTTTTCTGGTATTTTGTCTTACTAAAGTTTGTACCATTTGAGGCATCACAATACAGATTTCCAGGAATGTCAGACGTTCTTTTGACATTCACTCGTCTTAAATTGACGGAATAATCAATAGTGTGCATTTCCTTCTCTACAGCAATAAACCAAACCGGGTGATTTTTGGGTCCAATGTCTTTGAGCCAAAGGGATTTCTCGCCTACAGTGCAACCACAAGTGTTCAGGTAATGAGATACTGCAGTTGAGCTGAAGCTTCTGTGCTGAATGCTCTCTGTGCTGGTAATTAGTAAAACATAGTGATTTTTCATCTAGTTATTTTTATGGCCTCAAGAAATTTGCCCCCCATTATTTTTCGGACTCTTTGTAATGGCTGTATAGCTTAATAAAACATAATTTACCACATTGGTCTCTAAAAACTATTTGGCACTCATACCATTTGCAATAAAAAAAAACAGCACAAGTTAGAGAAAGCTTCACACTTTTCCTTGATCTGTGGTATGCAAATGGTAGATTACACTTTTTATGGTGTGTTTTTAGAGTAATGATTTGGGAGTCCAAAGGTCAATAAATATGTGCGTTTTCATCAGTTGGACCAAAACTCGAGTCGAATCAAATCAATCCAAAATAGCTGTTCTCAAAAGGCTCTACAAAATTGGTGTTTTACCAGTTGCAGATTAGAAAATCTAATCATGAAAACAGTCAAGAGAGACGTTTGGAATTCATATTCTCATAATACTTTTTTAATAGACTCGAAGTGTTTCTTTGTGTGGATGTAATTGTCCTTCTGTTTTTCTGACATGTGTTTTTCTGGCATGTGTTTTAGATATGTTCTGCTCTAAAGTATTTTAGGCCTAATTCTAATTACCATTGCCTTCATTAATATCATTTAAAAACATTTAAAGTGATAGTCTGTAACTCTAACACATTTCCTAAAATTTGTAATTCATTTAAATTGACCTCCTGGCCTTAAGTGTTGATATAAAATAAGTCATTTTATTAATTCTAATATTACGGGCAAGTCCCGCTTTCCCTGCTCTTAGCTATAGTTCAGAATCCACCGTGCCGTCGAGGTTAACCAATCGAGTCATGCCAAGGGCTGTCAATCATCGGCGCTGATGCTCGCAGCTGCGCGCATGCGCAGTTGTTTGTTTTTGCGGAGCCTCCGAATCAAGCCTCTATTATAGGCTCTGGAACTACATGAAAACTGAACAAAGAATTCTGAACATCCGCGCTGAGGTACTTATGTATATACTGAACCTATATCCATAATCAGATCCTCTGCAGATGTGTCCTATAATGTGCTATTCATAATAATAGCACTTCCTGGTTTGCCTCGATCACTTTTTTTGTGCATAAAAACATTATTTTTTTCATTAAAACGTTCACAAATAATTCTGAACCTCCGTGCATGTGTATTAATAATGTATATGTATAATGTTTTCTCTGATTAACATTTCAAAGTGTTACGGAAACGTAGGTGTAGACCAATCAGAAAGGAAGGGGGAGGGAGCTTGCGTTGTTTTTTTCAAATCAAGTAACCCTCTCCGTCTCTTTCTGACAAACTCCAGACAATCACTTTAAACTTTATGTGAACAGGGGAAGCTGGTCTACGCCAACTATGGTCGTCTTGAAGATTTCGAAGTTTTGACAAAACACAAAGTTAATGTTGCAAACTGTGTAGTGATCCTGCGATGTGGAAAAATCAGTTTTGCTCAAAAGGTATGCTTGAATAAATGAGTAATTTGAGTTTGGAAGTTTTTAGCAATGAGTTATTTTTTCTTAGGTGAAAAATGCCCTTCAGTATTCTGCCACTGGTGTTCTCATCTATCCAGACATCGAGGACTACAAGTATGTCGCCAACACTGAGTTGTATGGACATGTAAGTGTCACAAATCAGTCTAAACATTTCAACATGATCACGGAAAATTTGTGCTTTGTAGTACATTGGGAGAGATTTATGTATTTTGGGTGGTTTTAATGAATTTTCAAACGAGACAAAATATGAAAACCTTAAAATCAGAGCAAAAGTGACAATTGAAACATGCCTTTTATCACAATACATTTTCATCACTGTGTAATTAACCTCCTGCTTCTGTTCTCCTCAGGTGCATTATGGGACAGGGGACCCTTTCACTCCCGGGTTTCCTTCATTCAATCACACTCAGTTTCCTCCCGTCGTTTCTTCTGGCGTCCCCAGTATCCCAGCCCAGACAATCACCTCCAATATGGCTCAAACCATTATGCAGTAAGTCAATTACTCATGGGTGGTTTAGTTCAGTTACTAAATGTGTAACACAAGGATCTTAAACTCAGCCAAAACTAGCTAAAAGGGGATACGTCTAAATACCATTTTTGACTTTCAGATCAATTGGTGGCCCAGTTCTTGATAAAGACTCTGACTTTATTGGTGGTCAAACTTGGTCGTATTCTTTGGGAGGAGTTGAAAACGTCACAATTGAAGTGAACAATGCCCTTTTATTCAAGGAAATCCACAATGTATTTGGTGTCATCAAAGGCTTTGTTGATCCTGGTGAGTCATCAGATAATAGTGAAATATAAATTAGATTGCTGATCTTGTTAAATCAGACATAACTGTATGACACAAGTATCCTTTGAAATGTGATCCTATGCCATGTACAATCATGTCTTTTTTCCAAATTATTTGCCTTGATGGTGTTTCTATGAATTCATAGATCGTTATGTGGTTCTGGGCGCTCAACGAGATGCCTGGGGTCAGGGATACGCCCGTGCTAATGTTGGGACCTCTGCACTGATTGAGCTGGCCAGGGTTATTCGTGAAATGGTGGAAGCAGGTTAGACATTTTTAAACATTGCATTTCATTCTTTCCTAGTATTATGAGTATCAAAATTACAACATTTGAAAATGTTTCATCTATAATATGTATTTTCCAGATGATTTCAAACCAAGAAGAAGTATTGTGTTTGCAAGCTGGAGCGCCGGAGAATACGGTAGTGTTGGGGCTACAGAATGGCTTGAGGTACATAATGATCGATCTGCTCCTCATTTAAGTTACTAAAGGTTTTTGCATAATTACCATCTTTTATCTTTCAGGCTCACGCTGCCTCTCTTGACAAAAATGTTTTATCCTACATTAGTTTGGATGGACTTGTCCAAGGTAACTAGTCCTACTTTATTACATTGTTAAAGCGTGTTAGTATATGATCTAATATGTCTATCTTTCAGGTCATGGAAGCTTTTACGCCTCAGCCAGCCCACTTCTCCAAATTATTGTTGACAACGCCATGAAAGTGGTAACTGTCTACTTTTCTACTATTTAAACAGTATGGATGTGTAATTATTAGTGGTGTCAGTTAAACGCAATAATGTCATTTTTTTTGCTGTGCGATTAACGCAAGCACAAATGCAAGGATGCTCCTACCCCTGACGTCAGGGGCAGCAGGCGTTGGAGTAGGCAGTCGCTCACTGCCGATTATTTGTAGCCTGACTCTCGCCAGACCCTTGTGGAAGCTGCGCTTCTCACAAGCGTATGGGACTCCTCGATAGGAGTTGGACTTCAGAAGGCAGTTCCTTGTAAAAAAATCCTTGTATGTGATTGGATAAACCACTTGTCCGTTATCTTGAATGACGTCTGCTTTCAACCACTCACATCGAAGCACACGACTCCCATGGGTTGCCAAATGCCGGCAAGATTTTCCAGCACAAAATCCGCGAGAATGCCCAAAAAAAAACCCATAATGTAATCAACTTGGGCTATCATGATTCTGTTTCTTTCTCTTTATTACCTACAAGTCTCTTGGAAAAAAGTATGCAGGAAACCACCCAACCTGGCAACCCTGCTTCGTAGTGTTGTAAACAGGAACACAACTAGTACTTTAACTTTACATGAACATTTGACTCTTAAAACACACACATAACATAACATAGAACCATCAACATCTCGCCTCATATTGATTAAAAGTGACATCCGTGTCTTAATTTGTTGGTATTTAAACATAAAAAATTTGCGGACTTTATGTCCGCCATTTTGGATTGCTTTCGCTGCTGCGTGAGACACGCTTGAGAAGGCAGTGCAAACCCGACGTAACACCGGCTATCCTGATTGGTCGATTATTTTCTGATCTGCTCGAGGAGTATGGTGTGGATCCCAGACCCATGTGGTTCAGCCAAACGCCTCTGGTGAAGCATGGCGGAACCACAAGGTTCTGGCGAGAGCCAAGCTAGATTATTGGATGTCAATCAGAATCACAGCTATCTCCAGGTCACAGCCAAATGTTGAAGCTATAGTTATTGCCACTGTGCGTGATGGTCAGCAAATGTGATTACTCGCAAATTTGTCCCTGTTCTAAATGTCACAAGTTAACCATGACGTTATGGCTGCAACAATGAACCGATAAAATCAATTGTTAAAAGTGTTGGCAACGAATTTCTTAATCAATTCTTTGTGTCGCGCAATTAATACGTCACCCACTACGTCGCAGAACTCGCGTGACTTGGGCGCATTCTTGTACAGCTGTGTTCAGACTGCTAATGTTTGCAAGTGTGTAGATGTAGGCGTGGACGCACTTTCACTAAATATCAGCTGCATGAGTTTAGTCTGCTGAGCTGCTGCTGTACTTTCCTGCGTTGGGGAAAAACGCAAAGCGGAAGTGGTGGGCGGGCTTTGATGCACGTTAGCAGCACTAAGACACAGTAGAATGTCAACTCATGGTGAAGACATACAGTGCATCCGGAAAGTATTCACAGCGCTTACGTTTGTTCACATCTAGTTATGTTACAGCCTTATTCCAAAATGGATTCAATTCATTTTTTCTCTTAAAATTCCACACATGGAACCACCAGGACTCTTTCTTAGAGCTGGCCGGCCATCTAAACTGAGCGATCAGGGGAGAAGGGCCTTAGTCAGGGAGCTGACTAAGGACCCGATGGTCACTTTGTCAGAGCTCCAGCGTTCCTCTGTAGAGAGAGGAGAGCCTCTCTCTACAGAAAGGCACATGGCAGCCCACCTGGAGTTTGCCAAAAGGCACCTGAAGGACTCTCAGACCATGAGGAAAACAATCTCTGGTCTGATGAGACAAAGATTGAACTCTTTGGTATGAATGCCAGGCGTCATGTTTGGCGGAAACCAGGCACTGCTCATCACCAAGCCAATACCATCCCTGGTAGCATCATGCGATGGGGATGTTTTTCAGCGGCAGGAACTGGGAGACTAGTCAAGATAGAAAGATGAATGCAGCAATGTACAGAGACATCCTGGATAAAAACCTGCTCCAGACGGTTCATCTTTCAGCAGGACAACGACCTTAAGCACACAGCCAAGATAACAAAGAAGTGGCTTCAGGACAACTGTGAATGTCCTTGAGTGGCCCAGCCAGAGCCCAGACTTGATTCCAATTGAACATTTATGGAGAGATCTGAAAATGGCTGTGCACTGTCACTCCCCATCCAACTTGATGGAGCTTTTGAGAGGTGCTGCAAAGAGGAATGGGCAAAACTGCCCAAAGACAGGTGTGCCAAGCTTGTGGCATTATATTCAAAAAGACTTGAGGCTGTAATTGCTGCCAAAGGTGCATCAACAAAGTATTGAGCAAAGGCTGTGAATACTTATGTACATGTGGTTTCATAGTTTTTGTATTTTTAATACATTTGCAAGAATCTGAAAAAAATTGAATAAGGCTGTAACGCAACAAAATGTGGAAAAAGTAAAGCGCTGTGAATACTTCCCGGATGCACTGTATGTTCACAAGCACCCCGTTCTTCATTGCTCTGATTGGTTGCCGCTAGCGTGTGGAGCGCGTATGTTCATCTCCTGGTTTTGCTGCATGCATCTCGCCACTGAACCCACCGCTGCTGCGCCGTAACAAGAAGTCTCCCGTGCGGGGAGGTCCATGCAATTCCTCACTTGGACGGATATCACCATTGACTTTGGATAATTCTGCGACGAGTTTCAATGCAGTCTGAACACAGCTTGAGAGTGTATTCACTCTCAGACATATCTGTGAGTGTGCATCTGTGTCTGACAGTGCTACTCAAGATCACTTTTACTCAAAGTCTTGAACAAGTTGTAAAAAAAATCCTGTAACTTTATTTTATCATTTATTCATTGTTTGGGTCCCTTTTTTAAACAACAAAATATACGTCTTTTGTGCACTTTAATTTGATTTTTAAAAAGCCAAAATTTGGCAGATACTGCATAGTGTATATATTTGTATGTTTTATGTATTGGTCCATGGCCAAGTTTTCGAATAAAGTGATGAAAATTAAAAGTTTTTTTAGGGCTGTCAAAATTGTTGTGTTAAAGGAGCTATACCCGTTTCTGCAAGGTTTGAATGTTTAGCACCGCCCCCCAACCCGCTCAATGGCTTCTCATTTCCCCTACGCTCTCACAATACAGAGCCATCTAGCTCAATTTGCAATCTAATATGTATGCTAACATTAGCATTAGCGCAACTTCTGATCAATCACAACAATCACTGATGAAATGGTACTAAAGCAACGCACTGCTAACACAATATATAGGTAAAAGAATACCGGTAGTTTTGCATCCGAATGTATTCATTTAACATTGGAATATATTAGAATATTTCATTAATTTATTATACAGTTCCTCACAGCAGCAGTAGAACACTCCATTGACTTGAATATAATTCTACCGATCATTTTTTCTTGATTACAGAACTCTCAAACAAATAATGGCCGCTGCCCTTTGGCAATGCAATCTGTTTGTAATTCAGGTGTGTAAAATACTGACATTACTCTGCAAGTACAACAGGTCTGCAGCGCCTGTCACTACACCGTGCAGCTTATCTGCACACAGATGTCTGTGCAGAGAAGCTAGCGGAGCTAGCCGAGTTAGCCACGCTCAGTAAACAAATATCAGTCAATCAACGCCATTAAAGGTTAATCGGACAATACAGTATACATATACATCCTTAACACACATGCACGAACGTTTTCAGAATTTGTTGTCAACGTTTTCATGACAAAATTACTATTTTAATGTGACAAAAGGCGATTGCGAAAAATCCGGAAGTAACCATTAACATGAAACGAACATTTTAGGACACATTTGAAGAGGATCTGATGGATTTAGTTTCGGTATATAAATGGGTCACTCACCGCTGATGATCAGAATTCTTTGTTCAGTTTTCATGTAGTTCCAGAGAGTTTTTGAACTAGCTAGCTTAGCTGTTACCTGCCTAGCACGTCCCGGTGAAACCTTTGGGAGCTAACTATTTTATTTGCAGTCACTAAATACATTTCGAATTATAAGGGCTGTAATATTTGTTCGATTATATATATTTTTTAAATTTTAGAATTATATTTGAATTTCGAGGCCGAAGCCCTAGTGTTAAGCAGCGCTGTAGAGGCTAGAGGACGCACGCTGCTCGTTCTGTGAGTGGAGGAGAATAAGCGTCCCGCTCAAACTCGGCACTTTTCACGGCAGCAAACTCATACACCGCTGAATCAATGACCTCAAGTTTTCAATTAACTTATAGATTATAATACAACTTGTATGTAGTAATAAGCATTTTTATAAACTCCTTAGAAAAAAAATTGGGTATAGCTTCTTTAACTCATAATTCATTTTTTTCATTAATCGCGTAAAAAAAATTAACGCATGTAGCGAATGAGACGCCCATGCATCCCATAATAACACTCAGAAGTGATGCAGACACATGCGTCTGAGATGGAGACAGCTGGTAAGCATTAGTTAGCATTAGCACAACTTCTTATAAGCTGTACAGTTATGGAATGATACCAAAGCAACGCACTGCTAACAAAACATACAGTACAATAACTGAAAGATTTCCGCTAGTTTCGCGTCCAAATGTAGTCCGAGGTGGTCTACACCCGCAGGTCTCGCCAGAGGATATGATGTAAGCTAGTTATATTTAATACAACTTAGAAAAAATACTGTCTACTACAGACAATGTTATTAATGTTAAGCTGTTTTATGTGGATTTATTGTTAGAATAAATTTAGTTTATTATTTGGTGTCTTGCAGCTAAAAACAGAGTATCCTTTACCGTTGGAGCCATGCACTTAACAAAAACTTAACAAATGAAATGGCTTATACTTCAACAGAAACTTAAAGTAGTACTAGAATTTAATATGCTGCTATCCAGAATATATAACTACAATATAATATTATATTTTGGGTGTTCATTTTGACATGTTCAGATGAATTGTGTTAAAAAAAACTGCTTTGAAGGGGACCTTTAAAAAAACGCTATGTACAAAACTGATGAAAATATGTTTATACCTTGTTCAGATCACAGCTGGAAACTGT